ATGACGTTGAACATTACTGGTGTCCTTTTGGCAGCCATGTCTGTTTGGTGAAGTATATTCACATATTTTGCTCTTCTTTAAATTGTTTTTTCCTACAAATTCTGGATACAAGTCCTTTTGATAAAATATTGACATACATACTTTCTTATAGTCTTGTCTTGTAGGCTTGTCTTTTCTTTTTCTTCATAGTGTCTTTTTAGGAGGAAAAGTATTCATTTTTTATGAAGTCCAATGTATGTAGATATTCCTTATGAATCATGTTTTTGGTGTCATACCAAAGAAATCTTTACTTAACTTCAGGGTCTTTTTTTAAAAATGCTTTTTTCTAGAGGTTTTATAATTTTAGGTTTTACATTAAATCTTTGATCCACTTTTAATTTTTGTATATTATATTATGTAAAATGTGAACTAAAGTTGCTTTTTAGCTGGGTATGGTGGTCCATGTCTATAATTCTAGCATTCTGGGAGGCTGAGGCAGGAGAATCACAAGTTAGAGTCCAGCATACACAATTTAGGGACTGGTGAGAATCTGTCTCAAAATTGAATTTTTTTCTTTTTTAATGGTTGGAAGCATTGTTCAGTGTGAAAGCCCTGGGTTCAATCCATAGTGGGGGGAGGGATGCTGCTTTTAGTAGTTTGCTATGCATATTTTTACATATGAATATCCAATTGTTCTAGTATCATTTGTTATGGAAATTATCCTTTCTCTACTAAATTACCTCTGTCAAGAATTAGTGGCCCATAGTTTTTTGTGGCTATTTCTGGACTCTGTTCTATTCCACTGATTGCTTTATCTTTGTACATCCAGTAGGACGGTATTCCTAATGTCAGTGTTAGCCTTCCTGCTTTATTCAGATTCTTTAATATTATTTTGGCTTTTCTGGATTTCTTGCAGTTCAAGCAAGTTTTGCTCTGTTCTGTTTTATTTTATTAGCACTGAGATTGAACCGAGGTGCACTCTACTACATCCCTTGCCTTTTTTATTTTTTGTTTTGAGACAGGGTCTCACTAAGTTGCCCAAGCAGGCTTGAACATAACATCCTCCTGCCTCAGCCTCTTGGGAAGCTAGGATTAGAGGAATGGGTCACCATGTCTGGCTCTGATTTCTTAAAGTACAAGCTGATATCATTGCTTTGAGATTGCTGTCATTTTCTTATAGAGGGATTTGATGCTATAAATGTCCCCCTAAGTACACCTTTAGGGACACTGCACAGTTTTAGATATGCTGTGTCTTCTTTTCATTCACTTCAAAACATTTTTGAATTTTCATCTTGATTTCCTCTTTCACTACAGTTTATTTGATGGTATTGTTGAGTTTCAGGATATTTTAAGATTTGTCCAGGTATCTTTTCACATTCATTGAATTCTCTTGTCTCAGAATATGCTTTGAGTAATGTGAATCCTTTAATGTTATTGAATAATGTGAATCATTTATTTAAGTTTATTTTATGGATCAAGATATAGTATCTATTGGTAAATGTTTTGTGTGCACTCTAAAAGAATACGTATTCTGCTGTTGTTGGGTTGAGCGTTATGTAAATGCCAAGTTGTTGAAATCTCTATCCTCACTGGTTTTCTGTCTGCTAGTTATGTGAATTATTGAGAAATGTTTATCTGAAATCGCCAACTCTAATTATAGACTTGTCTGATTCTTCTATAGATTTTTCCCTCGTGTGTGAACATGTATTATTACATGCATAAGCACCTTTGATTGTTATGGTCTCTTGATGAATTGGCCTTTGTATCATTGCAAAATGTTTCTGTTTGCCTCCTGTGACATTTTTGTCCTCAGTCCCTTTTGTGTGACACTGGTTTATCTACTCCAACTCTGATGGTTGTTTGCCTTTTCATACCAACACCAATGTGCCTATTGTTTATTTATATTCGAAGCGCATTTTTCATAAGCAGCATGTAGTAGAATGAAAGTTTTTAAATCTAACCTGATAATTTGTGTCTTTTATTAAACATTCAAACTATTTACACTGGGGCTGGGGAAATAGCTCAGTAGAGTAAGCACTTGCCTGGCAAGTGCAGAGTCCTGAGTTCAATCCCTGGTACCGGAAAAAAAAAACAACCAGCTTTGTATTTAATGTGATTATTGATATGGATTCAAGCAAACTATTACTTTTCTGTTTTTTATTTGTCTCACCTGTTCTTTATTTTGTTATCTGCCTGTTCCTGGACTTACTAAACACCTTTAATGATTCTTCTCTGTACCTGTTTTCAGTTTATTATCTATAACTCCAGGTTACTTAGTGGTGGCTTTAGGGTTTATGGTATACATCTTTACATTACGGCAGTCTACTTTCTGGTGCTACCATATATCTCAGATAGAGAATAAGAGTCTTACCATAACGTGCCTCCACTTCTCCCCTCTTGCCTTGTGCTGTTATTGCCAAGCATTTTTAACTTTACATACATCATAACCCACACATTGCATTGTCATTTTTCTTTTTGAAATTACTTTTTTAAAAGATTCAATAATAAGAAAAAAAATTGGGCATTTGCCCATTTCCTGAGCTCATCATTCATTTATGTATGTCCTCTTGAATCTACTTTCAGCAAGTTGTTTCAGCTTCTATTTTATTTTATTTGCGGAACTGGGGATTGAACTCAGGCCCTTGCACTTGCCAAGGAAGCACTTCTTCCACTGAGCCATCTCCCTGGCCCCTCAGCTTTTATAAAGTCTGAAAATGTCCTTACTTTTGTTTTGGAATTAAACTTTTTCTGGGCTTGAACTTCTAACTTACAGATTTTGAGTGCTTCAAAAATATTGCTGCATGATCTTGCTTGTGTTATTTCCAGCGAGAAATACAGCATCATACTTACCATTGTTCCTTTATATGTAATATGCTTTTGTCCCTCGTTCTTTCTATGCTTTTTTTCGTCGTTATTTTTGAAAACTGTGGTTATGATGTATGTTGATGTAGTTTTCTTCATATTTTTTTTGTGTTGGGGTTGATTAAATTTCTTGGCTCCATGGGTTTATAGTTTTCATCAAATTTGGAGAAGTTTAGCCATTATTTTTTCAAATATTTCACTTGTAAATATACTGTGTCTCTTCCTTCAGGAGTTCTGTTTACATGTATTTGGACACTAGAGGTTGTCCTACGGCTCTTTTTTTTCCGATGTCTTATTTTTGTTTTAAAATTTTCTTTCTATATTCCACTTTGAAGCATTTTTATCTTGCTGAATCTCCAAATTTGCCAGTCTGTCTTGCAATTTCAAATCTGCCATAAGTTTATTAAGTGTATTTCTCATCTCACATGTTTATATTTTTCATTTCTAGAGGTTCAGTGTACCTTTTAAAAGACTGTATTCTGTATGACTATTTTTGAACATTTAAAAAGTGTTGTAGTAGCTGTTTTAATCAGCTATTTAATTGACAGTAACTTCCGTGTCAGTTCTAACATCCATTCTCATTCTTGGCTGGTCCCGGTAATTTCTTCATTATGGGGTTCATTTTCTTGCTTTATAGCGTGCATGGTTAGTTTTGATTTGGGTACCAGATATTTAGATTTACCTTGTCGGGCATTGTAAATATTCATCAGTTTTGTTTTGGGATGTAGTTGAGTTACTTGGAAACAATATGCTCCTTTCTGGTCTTTTAATATTTGTGAGGTAAAGCTGGATGTGATGGCATTTCCCTGCAATCCCAGCACTCTGGAGGCTGAAGCAGAAGGATCATCATGAGTTTGGAGCCAGACTAGACTACATAGTAAATTCAAGGCCAGCTGATATATATATATATATATATATATATATATATATATATATATCAGTATATCAGTTGAGGCAAGATCAGTGTTTGTTTATAGCTAAATATTGCCCACTACTGAAGCAAGACCTCCTGAGTACCTTACCCAGTATCCTTTCAGTCTTGAGGCTTTCCAGTCTGGCTGTTGGGATCAGGCATTATCCCTGGCCTTGTGTGAGTGGTATGCCCTCCTACCACTGTTCTCTTCAGGGGATTAATTCCCTGTCTGTGGGTGAGTTCTTCTTTGGTCTGTGCTGACCACTACTCGGTTGAATCCTCACAGGACCTTCTGAAAATCTCCATAGTTCTCTCCTGTTCTGTAAGCCTTGGTCTTCCTGGACTTTCAGTTCTATCTCCTCGGTTCAGGGGGTCAACCAAGTCCCACCTGATTCCCTCTCCCTGAGCTGTGACCCGGGTACTCTCTGAAAGCAGGTGCCTCCTGAGATATAGACAGTGTTTGCCTTCCCATCTCCTAGGCATCACTGTCCTGTGGTGCTTGTTGTCTTACAGCGGTTGTTTTAGACATTTCCTTCATTTTGTGGTTGTTTCAGATAAGAAGATGAGTCCGCTGCTAGTTCATCGAGGCCAGATCCAGAGACATTCCTGGGCAAATTTTTCAACTTTTCTGAATTTTTATATTCTCATCTATAAGTAAGGATAATAATATTTTGCTTATAATTTTGCCATGGAAGCTTAAATGAGACTGATGTTTGTGTAGCACCTGGCAACTGGCAGCTACTCAGCAAATATTTGAGATTTCTCTATCTCTGCACCTGGCTCTTATTTCTTTCTGATTTTACCTTGGGTTATCAACCTGACCGCTGGCTGAGCTTTGGCTATGGTCTGTATGATAATTAACTAAATGGTTCATGGGCCATTCAGGCTTTAACTTGATGAATTTCAGAATTCTACTACCTGGAGGATATTCAGGGCCAAACCTTATCTTTCTTTAATTATACATTGCCTTTTCTGAAATCTCACCCAGTTCAATCTACAGGAATTTCTGCATAATTACAATGTGAATGTCAGTTTTTAGAAGGGGTGTGTGGTGGATGGAATTTAGAAGGGTCAGTGCTGTGACCCTCATGTGACCTTGTGGGGGTTTCCTGTAAATTTGTGGATGCCAACCTCTCACTTCTCCTTTTCCGTTTTCCTCAGATTTTCAAGGAGCTGCATGAAGAATGGATGAGCCTTTGCCAGAACTCACAGGTTCTCTCTTCTCTTGTCTTCTCTCCCATGGTAGTGTCTGGAGGTCGCAGTCGCCTGCATCTCATTGATCTCGGCAGCTGTGTGAAAGCTCTTAGCAAAAATCGAGAAGGAGGCTCGGGGCTGTGCCTCTCACTGTCCGCTCTGGGCAATGTTATCCTGGCTCTCGTCAATGGCAGCAAACACATCCCATACAAGTAAGTGGCTTTTCTATGGGAAAAACCGGACGGGGTAAGGGTGGGACCTGAGCTGGGTGAGGGATTCTCAGGGCAGGACCATCTGGGAGAGGTATGGCCAAGATGACCAGGTTGATGGCACAGTGCCAGAGACCAGCATTGGCTAACAGTTGTGATACTACATCATCATCCGATAGGTGCTCCACTGGCTGCCCAGGCCTCTACCGCAGCCTCCTGGACCTCATGTGAGCTGTGTGAACCTTCGCTCATTGTAAATGAGGGTGATAGCTGTGTGTCCTGTCAGCATTGCCCAGAAACAAGATTCAGAATGATATAAGACACATGAAAGTTTGTGTTCGAGACTTTAGAACATTGTAGTCAAAAATCAATAATGAAAATTTGATGGACTCTACCTCACTGAGTCTATTCTCAGCTGATTATATATAAATAATACCTTCAGAGTAGTCCTGAGCGTGGATATGGGTGTGGAATCTTTTTGTAATCTGTAAAACTCCTGTAAGATACAAGTACTAAGGAAGAAAAACCTAAGTTGGGCCGTTCATTCTACAACAACTGGGATTCAGCATGCGTCTGTGGGTTCTTCTTCCAGTGCTAGACTGATGCAAAACACCCACCCCACCACCAAAAAGAAAGCAAAGACGTGTGAGTTTTATTTTATTTTCTACCAGGAGGACCATTACTAGACTGACTTTAAGCACTTAGGTGGTGATCATAATCCTGTCAGTCTTAGTGCTTGAAATTTGGAATCCTACTTGATAAGCTCAGAAGTGATTTTGCTGCCCTACATGTAAAGGTTGTTTTCTGTGAGAAAAATTTCAGGTTGAAAGTTTCATTTTCCATGAGTTCCACTTCTGAATGAATGAAAATCTGTGAGTTCAAAACAGCCAGGAAATAAGTTGGTCCGCAGGGGGGCTGTCAGGGTGAGAGGCCTTGGGAAAGAATGAAGAACTGTTGGGCCTTGTTGGTTTCCATAAAAGAAGGATCACGTCTATGAACATGGTAACTTAAAACGTAATGATGGAAAATTTAGACTGCAGCCTTATAATGAGGTCATTGGTTGTGTCTTTTAGTTGTGTAGTACACGTTTCCTAAAGAATAACATGCCTTTGTGAATTGAATAAATATTTGTTACATTGATGGTGGGCAGGTTGGGTGAATGTAAGCTTGTCAGATTATTTTAATTTATATAAAGCAACTTTTTTTTTTTTTTTTTTTTTTTACTAGAGTTTGGGTTTTACTAGAAACAGATAGGAAAACATGAAGAGTTATTTACATCACTAGTTCAGGGTCTCTGGTTAAGGTAAATATAGCTGAGCACCAGCCAGCCCTAACAACCAGCCTCCTGCCCTCGTGGGAGGAATGACAGAATGTGAAGCCCGCTCACTCAGCCCTGTGGGCGTCAGTTGCTCGGTGCTGAGCCGCTGTCCTTCCACAGTGGCACAGGCCTAGTGCACAGTATCTGCATCGCACACAGTTGTGGAGTTGTCCTCCACCAGCAGGAGGTGGCCTGGCTGAGCCACTGGCCGTGGGCACACCCGCTCTCATCTGCTGCCCTTGCCCTGCCTGACCTCCCTCACAAAAGCCTGCTGGGCAGCCCATTGCTGGGCACCAGGAGGCATAGTGGCCAGGCCACACAGCCAGGTCTGTCCTCCCCCAGTGTGCACAGAACACTCGTTTCAGCGTTCCTTGGTCCCTACTGCCTCTTGCCATGGATAAGCCTTGAAAGGCCTCGGCACTAACATCCCAGAACCTCAGCTGCGGCAGGTACTCAGTATCTGGTATCTGCAAATCACACTTGCAAGGGGATTCATCAGCTAGATCTGTCTTGTTTGGGGGCGCAGAAAGGTAAGACAAAGCTTTACTCACAAATGCCCAGCCAGTTGGTGTCAGGATCAAACTGCTCTCTAGAGACCTTGGCAGCTGGAGCCCACACGGCCGGTGCTTCTGCTCCTTGAGCTCTGGACCCTGTTAGCTGCGTGCACAGGCAGAGGTGCTCAGCGCAGCAGGGCGGCCCTGGCTTCCCTTATCAATTACATCAGTGTTCTGAAGCCGCATTATGCAGCACTGTGTCAGCACGCTGAACGCCTTTCCGGGTGTCAGGCCTTGTCTTCTGCACTGGGTTTCTGAGAGAACGGCAAGTTTCTAGCCCGTGCTGCACCTTGTTCCCGTTTACTTTCAGGAAAAAAAAAACCCAGAAAACCAAACTCCCTCTTCTTTGCCCTCCCCCATCTCCAAAACACGAAAACCCCAGTGCCTCGTCATCTGTCACCCTAGACAGCTCTGTGCTTCCAAGCTGCATTACTTGTGCTTGCTTCTGGGAAATTAACTGGAATGTGCACAGAGGGGCAGAGACTGTCTTCATTTCTCTTCATCGCTGTACTGCACAATTTGTCATATGAGCGAGCAGGAAAGTGAGTTTGGATTCAGCACCCAGCCTGCCCGCTCCCACAGGAACCCTCAGCAGCGTGCCCTCAATGGTTCTGACTTTGCAAATGATGGTGCCTCTGTAGGCGACAACGCAGGCCAGAGCGAGGGGCTCCCAGCCAGCTCACCGCCTAGGCTTGCCGGCCACTCCAAGTGCCACAAATCTATCCTAAATGGTGACACCATTCAGAAAGGCATGCAGGGAAGGCAGGGAGACCACCTAAGGGCTCCAGCCCCCAAGTCATTTCTCCTCATTTCTGCACCGACAGACTGCACAAATTGCTCTCCAACTTGGGGGAACCTCATGCTGAGGGAGATCTGCCCTAGGCCTGAGTGTTCTGACAGCACATTTGCAAATTTCCTTGCAGGCTCATTTATTAGGTAAGACTGTTACTCCTTACCGTTTCTTGGGCAACAAGGTGCTAGAAATCTTCCTTCTTGATGGATAAGACAATATAGGCAGGTGTATTGGAATGAATTTTCATGCCCCAAGACGAAATCCCAGCACACTTCCCTGGGAACTGGTCCCCCACAAGCAAGAATCTGTCAGGGTGACCTGATCGTCAGCTAAAGTGCTATTATGTCGCAGCTCTTCTGAAGAAGCAAGTCTTTCCAGAAGCATAAAAATGTTAACCACAAGCAAGTTGTTTCAAAACAGAACTCCTGGTCCCTTGCAAGTGCTATTCTGTAAAGGTGAAAACCCCTAGGTACCCTTCCCACTGGGAGAGGCATCTGCCTTCATTTAGAACTGTTACTCTGTTCAGGAAACAATTACTGCTTGCTTGTTTGGTTTTGTTTCTTTTGAGATGGGGCTCCTTATGCAGTAGAGCCTGGCCTTGAACTCCGTATGCAGCCCAGGCTGGTCTTAAATTGTTGCAGTCCTCCTGCCTCAGCCTCCCAAGCCCATCCCACTTTAAAAGATTTTAGAATCTTATACTGAGCAAGGGCTCATGGCCCATGTTCAACAAAAGCAAGTACTATGGCCCTGGATTTTGTCACACACACACGCTCGCGCGCGCGCGTGCACACACACACACACACACACATAAATTACGGAGAGAGCTGACCAACCAGACGTTAGGAGGCAAAAGAAGAAAAGGAAGACTCAAATCTGTCACGTCATTGTGATACAAGGGAATGAGACTCCTGATCTGAAAGGTACCTGGGATGAATTCGTGTGCTTTAAAACGAAAGAATTAATTTTAGGAACAAATGAAGGTTAAGAGCATAATATTTATTGAGGAAAAGAAATTTTTTGTCTGAGGGGGTTACTCGTGGGAAGCTGTCTCTTCTAGGGACTTTTTATTAGAGTGAAACCATGTGGTGAGGTAGGTCTAAGGTGGACAATATGGGAACTCGCTTAGGTGGGCATAAGGTGGAACAAAAGTATGGTCAAACCAGTAAGGTTACGAGCACTGTTGCTTAGGTAAAATTGATTAAATCCAGGACCAAATGTGGAAGCAAGTCACGTAGCAAGCAGGCATAAAGATAGAACAGGACTTTGTCCAGTAGCCAGCCAGTAGCGGTTGGATTAGTGACTCTTTCTGGCTTCCTCAAGGTGATGACCAATCCCAGATGCTTATCTTTAGTGAGGTAAGAATTTGTTCAATCTTTGGTCTTTAGGTCTGGCCCACAGCGGGAGCATCCATCTCCCTCACAGTTGCAAGATATCTTGACTTCCATGCTGTCTCCTTTAGGGCCTGGCCCTGTCTGACTACTGTAATATTTCTGTCTAATTCAGCTGCCTACAACAACTGGTTGGCAGCAGAGAAGGAATCTGTAGGAAGGAAGTGGGGTGATGTTACTTGTTGATTGGATGCCAAAGAGGAAAAGAGAGGGTGCAGGCAGTACTGGGAATCGAACTCAGAGCTTTGTGTGTGTGTCGTGTGGCCCCTGTGCATTAATTACCCCAGCCCTGGATTCAAGTCTCTTGTGCAGGTGTAGACAGTCATCACATCTCTTCACAGTGGCAGTTATAGTGTTCTGCATGAGAATCTGTGAGCTTATGACATCCGAAAGTCATTGGCCAGGTGAACAGGCTGCTTCTGCAAGTGTGCATTCTGGAAGGGCTGATTTCAAATTGTCCTTGAATAGATCCTGGAAGTGTTCCCTACAAACCAACTCAGGCACTTTGTAATTTAAGGAATGTATGTCTGGGTATGCCCAGCCTGTAGCCGATTCCGCATCTACGTGCTTCTATTTGCCCATTTGCCAACAGGATTCTTGCACTGTTCCTACACACAAGGGATTTGATAGTGTCTTGATTCCCATTTGATAGATCATGGAAAATTATTCTGTGACCCACTTGTGTTGTGTCTGTCTGCTTTTCCCAGACAACTTGAAAATTGGTGCTGTGTAATCATCTTGTGACATGAAGTGACACAGGACCTCGCTCTATTTGAATCTGGTCTGTGATGCAGAATTGAGGCCTCATCCAGGCATTACCATGTTTGGAGTCTCAGGCACTGTGCTAACTTCACTCCTCCCCTCCCTGGGTGGGTGACTGCAGGGAGAGCCTGAGACTCTGTGCCTCAGCAGAAGCCTCTGTCCTGCCAAAGTGACCAGGATGCCCTTTC